GGAGTATTTTCCCTTTGGAGGCTAAATCGTTTATCTTATAATAAGGTCAAATCTGAGAGCTATTCAAGAAAGAGCGTCAAAAGTGCTGTCGAATGTGCTTTTCCGTTGCGTTATAGCTGTATTGGCTCCCGAGCCGAGTTATGCGCCGATTTGTCGAAAAAAAAATGTTGCAATGAAAAATAATGACCTCTGGTGATTTCTGACCTCTTTTTGACCAAAAATAACCTCTGACCTTTGACCTGACCCAAAAATGAATGATCTACTTTCATTATAATTTTGACGTTCTTTGGAATGCCACTTACCGTTTGTCGCTACGTGGCCGAGGAGCCGAGTATTTGCCCCAAATGCCCCCCCCCCTCCCCCTGAATCCGCCAGTGTGTTTGGTCATACCAGGGTAATGCATAAAACGTTCATGCATGCCTACAAAGAGTCACTACCCCGTCGGAGTAGTGGCACGGCCAACGGCACCTACCGACAGGAGCGACATCTGAGACAACCGACCCGGCCGGCAGCGGCCCAGTGCTGATATTCTGTAGAAACTCTGCAGGGAACGACGTTCCCTCTCGATATGGACCACATATACTCACATCGGGGCGGCTCCTTCATCGACTGACCTCCAACAAACTTTTCCCACTTGATCTGTAAAACTTAGCGAATTTGAGCTGTTATCAACCGTCTCTTCGCGATGTGATTCGATGCATCGCGATGCTATTCGATGCATCGCGATGGATATAATCACGTCCCGCGCCGCGACACAAGCCTACTCGTATATTCATCACCGTATTTGCCAATAAATTGAGCAGCATCAAAACATTAAATATGATACAAAATCATCTTTTTACGCCATGCATGGTGCATAAAATATGTTCCTTTCATATTATGCGATGCATTGAACGTCTCGGAAGTATCAGCCTTTTATGCAACTAGTGGGCTGGTCATACGATACCGTCTCACAGTAATTAAATGGTTCGATATAAATATTTAAATAGCATCACTCTCGTCACGACACCTGGCTCTAGAATAGTGAGATCGATGCTGTTATTTTGTTGCTTTTTAAACGTCTTCAGCGGTGCAAAAGTAATGAATTTTGGCATTTTATCTTACAGATAATGGCGCCCTTTAGCTCGAACGAGACGTGAATGAGCCGTTCTGTCTCGTCTCGTTCAAGCTTAGGCGCCATTATTTAGAATGTACATTTTGGTGGTGGTCTGTTGCCATTAGAACGACACCAAAATAAATACTTTTAGTAAAAACTTTGAGGATACATAGCAAAACGCCTGCGTCCGCGACAGTTCGTGGTCTGACTGACATTGTCGCCACTACGAAGATAACAAGAGGTTGGGTATACTTTCACGCAGGTTCATGGGATTCTTAAAATCGTAAATTAAGTACCTACCCATGTTATGCTCACCGTCTCCGTATTTAGGTACCTACTCAGAAAACGACCATGACAAGAATAAAGCCTAATTCAACATTCCCTGGAATAAAGAGCATGCTTGCTAACCTTTCACAAGCAGGACTTTGGATCTGTAGTCAGTCAGAGTTGAAGCAGAGAATTAGGGAGTTGAAGTTCTCTGGATGTAACGAGACATGATGTACATAGCTACGTTTTCTTGATAAAGTGACATTGCGATGCATTTTGAGCGGCTGGGTGCGTAATCGAACCAATAATATGCTACATAGATTCCGGGTTATTTAGGTAATCAACCTACGATGCCAGACTGCCTAAAATAAATATGCATCGAATATAAATGCCGTGTTGTAGTGTGAGCACTTAGCCCGTTGTAGCTCCATTTTCGCATATGTAGGTGCCGGCCCGGTATATAGTACTCGAAGACCATCCCTCAGCTGCCCGGCCTGGCCGTTCAGGCCACAGGCCACAGGCGCCAGGCGCGACTTGACCATGAACTATGGCGTGTGCAGCAGTCGGAAAAGTTACCGACAAAAGTTTGTTGCGCTCCCCGAGTTTGCTCATTGGGTCAAACACCACCGTCTCAGAGTGCAGTTGGACAATAGACAGAGACTTGCTGTCGTGTTCGTCCCGTGATATTTAAAAGTTGGTCACGACCAAAAAGTTTTACCTATCCATTATCGAGCCGGTGTGGCACCAAGCAGTTGCAAGATTTCGGGGCGATAACTCCTTGACCTGCAAACAACGAACTCTCAAAGCGTGACGTCTTAGCATAGGAAAATGGAATTATCTACCCGCACTCGGCCCCATTCCCCTGTCGTCGCGTCGGACCCTCCCCGGCCGGTCGCTCGCACGTCTCCTGAGACGCCACCTCCCCACCGAGCGGCCACCTCCTCCTCTCCCTCTCGAGCAGCTCCAATCACTCAGCAGTCCAAATTCCGGTCTGTTTGCCCGTCTCGGCGCTCACACGGAACACGTGTCTCCCAGCGCCACGACCGCCGCCTGCCACCGTGATGGGATAACCCGGGTCAGCCTCCCGGAGCAGCGTGTGACCTTTCCGACTGAGACCCAGCGTCGGCATAACCTCGCGTCGCCCTGGCAACCGAGAATGAAGGTCCGGCGCACCGATAAAACTCATCTCAACTATTCCTGGCCCGAGAGCGGCGTCTCCATTTTTAACTGACGCGACGGAAAACAACGTCTGAGCCGTGACGCCGCTCTGCATAGTGTATATCGGATTAGGACGGGATAGAGGGGGGCGTTCGTATTTCTGTCCGAGATGAAACAGCGCGATAAAGTTACGGATTTGTCATGAGCTGACAAAGCCAGCCATACTATGTAGGGCCGCACGTTACTTGCTTGCGTTGTAGCTGAGTTACTATGCCAACGTAAGCAACTTGAGTAAGCTGCTTAGTGCTTACACTGAGCACGATACTTGACAGCCGTCACAAGCTATACCTATCATATACCGGTTATCTGAAAGACCCGTCTGGTGATCAGTTGCTAGCTGACCGTTCGTATAGTGACCTTCTACAGGGTGATTTTTTTTAACTGTTAAAAAGTAAACGTCAATGGTGGTCCCAAAATCGAAAAATCTTGTGCAAAAAAGCAATGCACGACGCACGTGATAGATAAATCTGGGACATTTTGTATGGTGTCATGATTTGTCCCTTTTAACCGAAGGCCTCGGCCCCAATGGAGCCTGAAAATGTCCCACCAATCGGGCACTCATGGTCCACCGCCGTTCAGTAAGGAACGACACAAAACGATGATTTTGAAGCATTGAGGCAGTTCGAAGCATACGATCATCAAGGAGATACCTCAGAAAGACGTTAAATAATGCAGGAACAAGCTTGTAGTCATAAATGACCTTCAAACGGTCCATCTGGCGTATGTGCAACCTCTGAAGAATCAGTCTTCAGGGAGAAACAAAAAACAGCGAATCAGACACCACCAGGGCCACCAGTAGCAAAATCCTCGACCTGCCTTTTCTAGACTTCTAGTTTTTGGACCCAGGTATGGCAAATATAACAAGAAAACATTGGAAATATCTGGCAGAGCTGAAAATGGGTGATAGGAGCCTTTTCAGTCCGCCTAATGAGCATGGGAGTCCATGGTACTGTTCAACACGTGCTCAGGCGGGCTGATTCGTGTCGGTGAGAGAGGGGGTAACTTCAAGCACAAGTAAAATACACGATGGACGTTCCTTCGCATCGTGTCTGCATGAAATCAAAATGTCCCAGAATGCTCGTCATGCTGGTATATAATTTTACCATATATATTTGCATTTTAACGCCACTAAACCTCATTACTTTTTAACCCTCGCCCGTAAACGGCGATCTGCCACCTTCGCCCATGCAGGGGGGGGGGGTTGGTGCGACCCCCCCTTGGCGTTTGAAAACGGAGCGTCGTAGAGCTTAGCGGAAAAGACCAACGGATTGCTCTCGCCGAGATCTCGCGATTGGTGGTATATTTTTTGGTCCTAGGTCAACATTTGACCTACTTTTGACCGGTCAAAGGTCAAATTTTCGGGAAAATAGACTTTTTTTCAACTTTCCGCGGCGATTGCGGCAAAACGGTGGGAGATATCGACTTGAAACCTTCACTATCGTGTTCCTTGATCAATTCTCTATCGTTTGGTATGTATTTCGTTTCCCTAGCTCTAAAAATGGCGCGTTGGGAGCGCCGGAAGTCGGCAAGGTCACAGTCGGCGGCAGAAATTCGAAAAAATCAAAATTTAAATTTTTGAAATCTGATTGTATTTTTGGATTTGGGAGGTCCATTTGCTCCCTATAGAAGCTAATATTGCTGCATATTCCCATTGAGGTGACAAGAATTAGCAAAATAGTGGTTCGGGCGCTTTTCAAAAATAGTACCGGACGCTGTTCCTCTTGTGACGTCATAGCTCCGTGACCTGACCTGACCCGGTCAAGTTTCTTATACCATATGATAGCCAATACTTGCCCCAACATGCATGGGAAGTTTCATCACGATCCATCAACCGATGTCCGTACCACCGGCAGGAAACCTCGGGCGTTGGCACTCAGTTTGTGAAAATCCGGCCGGAGGCTGTTCCCTTTGTGACGTCATAACTCCGTGACCTGACATGACCCGGTCAAATTTTCTTTTATCAAAAGATGCGCAAGGTTTGCCTCATAAGGTACCCAAAATTTGGCGGCGCTGCGCGCCGCCGTTTTTGCACTATTTCCGAAAAACCTCAGGGGGGGGGTTGCACCAACCCCCCCCCCCCTACATGGGCGAGGGTTAACAAGTAAAAAAATCACCCTGTATATGGTGACCGTTCGTCTTACGACCCTCCGTCTGGTCAACGTCCGTCTAGTGACCGCCCGTCTAGTGACCGACAGTCAGTCGACCGTTTGTCCATGACCCTCCGTGCGCTGACCGACCGTCCCCCGACCGTCCGTCAGCAGACCGTCCGTTTAGTGACCCTCCGGCTGGTGACTGTCCCTTAGCTGACTTTTCGTCAGCTGACTGTCCGAAAGTGGCTGCCCGTCCGCCGACCGTTCGTCTCGTGACCAACCGTCTGCGGACCGACCCTCCGCTCATGACCGGTCGCTCAGTGACCCACCTGTTCCACGGACCGGGCCTTCCTGCGCCTCTGCTCCTCCTCCAGTCGTTCGACGCACTCCCTCAGCTCCTCCATCTCGGCCTTGGCGCTCTGCAGCTGGTCGATCTCATGGCGGATCATGTGCACGTCCTTCCTCACCTCAGATACCTGCCGGACATACATAGGAGGCGCGTCGGCACATCGATCATGTGCACGTCCTTCCTCACCTCAGATACCTGCCGGACATACATAGGAGGCGCGTCGGTACACCGATCATGTACGTCCTTCCTCACCTCAGATACCTGCACGGTACATAGGAGGTGCGTCGGTACACCGATCATATAGGAGAAGTGCCTCGACGGCACAGAACAAGAGAATGTTAATCGGTGTATAATATTAAAAGGAGCGATGTCAGCACGTTCACTGTCATAAAACTTATGTCTTCTAATAACGAAGCAGGTCATTACGCGGCAATTACAGAAGATGATGCACACAAACGTTACGACGCTATGCGTATACGGACAGGACAAATATATTTTGTTCTACCTATTCTTTAGAAGTTGGTTGGCACACGTGGATGATAAAGGCACCAGGGATCGCTAAATATAAACCCGGCAAGGCAAAGAAGATGCATACTATTAGTTTAGGGAGAAATAGGTATTAACAAAAAAGAGGAGCAGCCCGGCGTGGAATAGCGTCCAATGCATACCGGAGTAGACCGCAGATAGGATGGCCAGATAGGAGAAGGAGGATCTAGAGAAACGGGCTATAAAGGAAAACAGGGGTAGTAACTGTCCCGAGTCCTCTGGCCAGTCTTTGACGGATGAATACGCAATCTGGCTATTGCCTTCCCTCACATGCAGACTTGGCTTATCACTACCCGTGAGTGTGGCCGCTGTTTGACATATGCTGGGAGAGTGTATGCACCTACCAAGCGCTATCATGACATAGACATTTAGCACATTTCAAACAGGCGATCCCACGAGCCCAGGGGTTCTGTGGAGTGCGGACGGTACCGACTCAAATAACTGGGACTCATAAGCTAGCCCATAAGCTGAGACGTGAGATGACATTTCGCTTGTCACCTCTTCCTGGGTGGGTCAATAAACTTTTTTTGCCATTACGTTCTATCTGTTCATTGCTGTTGTTACCTGACCTGACGTGGACTGTCGCCATTCATCTACGATTGACAATCGATGACCGAGTTGGTGGACTCCTAAACCACTTGACCTGTACCTGACGACTCACCTCCGACTGACAGTTGATAACGATGTCAGTGAGCTCCCTCAGACCCTCAACTGACCTAATCTGACCTGACGTGGTCTGCTCACTCACCTCCGACTGACAGTTGATGACCGTGCCGGTGAGCTCAGCACCTCAGCACCTGACCTGACCTAACCTGATCTGACCACCCACCTTCGACTGGCACTTGATTACAGATTCTGTGAGTTCGCTCAGTACTTGACCTGACCTGACCTATATTCTGACCTCCGAATGGTAGTTGATGAGTGAGTCAGTGAGCTCCCGTATCTGACCTGTTCTGACCTGACCTGACCTGCAGGCCTATCTCCACCCACCTCCGACTGACAGTTGATGACTGAGTCGGTGAGCTCCCTCAGTTGAGCGCGGATGACCTTGAGCTGAGCGTTGGTCTCCGTGTATCGGTCGGACTGGATGCTGTCCAGCTTGGCGGTCAGGTTTCGAGACATGGTGGTCAGCTGCCTCTGCAGGCTAAACAGACAGAGCGGTGATGTTGTCGACATAAGAGAGGAGACGTGGGCGACGTTAGGACAAGAGGGAAATGTGAGGGAAGCCAGGACAAAGAAAGACGCGAGCAGCACAATGACAGTAATCGCAGTAATCGCCACGCCATGTGTGGATCGCCCATGATCGTAAATACATACATACATACATACATACATACATACAGATGGAAGACGTCAGGCGAAAGTGTACTTTTGCATAAATGCTGTGTTAAGCTGAACGTTGTAAGCAGATGATTGAGTCGGCTAAGCTATAGGCGGAGAATGTTATAACCTTATGCTGAGTTGAACGTTGTGAGATAGCGAGCGAGCTAGCACGGTTATACACTCAGTGACATTCGCTGACATCTTATTAAAAAATTTAACTGTTTATTCTGACCAGCTGAAGCCTACAGGAGAGCAAACAGAGCGGCACGCCCCGTCTCACCTGCGCAGCATCTGTTTCACCGTCTGCTCCTCGTACTCGTCGTCAGCGGCGTAGCCCTGGTCGGCGCCGACGTCCGCAGAGAACGCGTCGTGCGGGTCGTCATCCTGAGCAAACGAATGACCGTGAACTTACCGATGCATGCGTACGCCTACGCATTCAGCGACCAGTTCCAATTTACTTCATTTCATTTCATTTCATTTCATTTATTGACCATATCAGCCACGGGACATGCCCATTTACGGCCAAAGTCACAGCACAATAAAAATACATGAACCATACACAGTCTTCATAAAATTTTCCCTTTTGCTAAAGTACAAGATAAAATAAGAAAAAAATAAAAATTTAGAAATTTAAAAATAAACAAATGCGAGCACTAAACATGCTAAAATCGTTTCAAGCGCTGTGAGAACAAGCACTCTTAACATACCTTAAAATACAAGACCTGACTCGAGATAAAGAATCATGAAATATGTCGACCTCATCACATCGCTGCAAAAACTCATTCATCACCCTGGGAAGCCTACAAAACATGCCCATTTTCACCGTTTCTACTCTTCCGTGGGGCACCGCAAGAAAAGTAGCAGCCGGGTGATGCGGGGCGGAACGGCCAAGCCGAAGTGCGACCGCAAGAAGCTGGAGTCGATATTACTTTTCAAGATGCGTGTCGAGAACATTAAGTCATGTTGAGTTCGCCTTACATTCAGTGGACAGAGAGAAAAGTGAGAAAGCAGGCGGCTATAGTCGAGAGTTTGTGGCGCGCCAGAAACGTGGGTCGACAACCAGATAACAAATTTGTGTTGTACGCGCTCTATTCGTTCTGTATGGGACTTCGCCGCCCCACCCCACACCACGCTACAATACTCCAGTATGGACCTCACATTAGCACAATATGCAGCGATCAAAGCCGTTCGGTTAAATTTGACCTGTCGTCCAGACTGAAAAGAACGTATCATCACACCGAGTGCCCTATTGGCTTTGGAGACAATGCTATCGACATGCAACTGAAACGTGAGCTTACTATCAATGATGACGCCAAGATCTCTGATGAATTCTTCAAATTTTCAGTAACGGTCAAATCGACCATTGTGAGCACAAATATGACAATTAGTTATTTTGACATTTGAGCTGTTCTTCGTGGTTGAACTCCAGATTAAATGACGGGAAACCTCAAAACGTCGCGAAAATGGTGACCTACTCCTTATGTAGGTAAGCAAATTTCTGGAGATCGACAGAACAAAGGTCATTTTCATTTCGTCACCAAGGGAATACTCCTAAGCCACAGTTACACCACCTCCGTTCAGCCATGCCCGTGGCGGAGCCTGTGAACCGCACCTGGAAGGGATCGGGCGGCCGGGCGGCACCCAGCGGCGAGTCTCCCGGCTCCAGCAGCAACAACCGTCCCGGCTCCGGGCCAATGTACCGCACCGGCTCATCCAGCAGGCGAATACTGTACTCTGGCGGCGGAACAGACGGTCAGTGACAGTGTTTTCTATCCGAGACATTCAGCAACTTGATGAGCGCACTAGAAGCACAGCATGGAAAAAGAGCGCGTGCTGTGCGGTACAGTCTATCAGCGCAGGTGTACTGCGGCACAGCCTAACAACGCACGTCGCGTGAACAAGTTACTTAGACCAGCAAAGTGCTGACGAATAGCTCCGAAGTCAATGGACATTTCAAGGCAAGCGTCGACAGACGATTGATGATTGAGTCGCTAGTGCTACAATAAGTGTCAATATTATTGTATAGTTTCAAAGCATCGCATGACATGCTATCGATTCCTCGACGCGCCTAGGACGCGATGGTTATCACGAAAAGCTCACCGGGCGGCATCAGGTCGACGCCGGTGACCACCTCGTCCAGCCGGCGCTCCAGCTGGTCCCAGGCCGGCCCGTGGCCCGCCGAGAGGGTGCGCCGCGGCGGCGGCTGGCCCTCGGACAGCTCCCGTGACCGCGCCGGCCGCTCCGGCAGCGGCAGGGTCCGGAACGCCGCCGACCGGTCCGGCAGCGTCCGCGGCGGACGGTCCGGCAGCGTCCGGGGCAGCACCGGACGGTCCGGCAGGGTCCGGGGCGGCACCGGACGGTCCGACAGCGACCTCCTCGGCGTCTGCTCGCCGGGCAGCCGCTGCGCCGGCGGCCCGGACCCCTCGGACGGCGGCCGCGCCGCCGCCGGCTGTCGCTCGGACAGCGCGGTGCGCGGCGGCGGCGCCGGCTGCGAGAGCGCCCGCTGGTGACCGGCGCGCGCCTCCACGCCCTCCGACCGGCCGCCGGAGAAGGTGGACAGCGTGGGCACATGGCTGGGCGGCCCGAACGCCGGTCCGGCCGGCCGGCCCAGCGTCACCTCGACCAGCTCGCCGGAGGGCTGGGAGGGCGGCGGCTCGGCCGGCGGCCGGCCGGGCCAGGCCGCGCCGAGTCCGTCGGCGGCTGCCGGCCGGCCGGGTGCGCTCATCGGACGGGCTCGCCGCCGCGTCTCGCCCATCGCAGTGTCACCTGCGGAGGACGGTGCAGGTCAGGTGCGGGGCGAGAGGGGATCGCTCGTCAGTCGCTGTTGCTATGCTATCACTGTCGTTTAGGCAGACATGCCAGCCAGTCGCTGAATCTACATACCGATACGAGTAGGAAAAATGTGAATACGTATCTTAAATTTAGCATAGCTACTAAGCGCCGAGGGTCATCACCAAACCATCAATTCATTCACCTGCTGTCATCTCAGCAGTGTTATTACGTCAGCCAGCTACCAATAGGCATACCAATATTTATTATTTATATCAATCACACTCAGCACATCGACGTCAGCCAAAAGGCGGACTCGATCTATCCATCTCGATGGCTCAGCTCGGACCAAAGTACCGCCGGCGGCCGGCGATCAGACTGGGCCCTCGGCAGCCGCTTCCGCGTGACTCCGCCCGGGGCTGCCGGCGCGTTACTACGGCACGACCAGGAAGCTGAGCCGGCGCGCCGCCCGGGATCGAACTGATGACGTCACTGGTGGCTCAAGTTAGCGGCGCGTGACGTCAGCGGGCCTCTGGGGTGGTGATTCTGGCCGTCGGCTCTGCACGCTGCCGACCTTCGTGGGGTCGGTCAGCGGGGAAATCAGCCCGCAGTGGCCGGTAACGGCGCTGAAAGGATTGTCCGGCATGGAGATCGGTGGCGTGGAAAGCCTCACAAAAAGGCATTAGTGAAGCTTAGAAGGCGCGATGGAAATGTACCGCAAACCTACATTGGGATTTTCTAAGGGAGCGTAAAACGTGAAAATCAGTGCTATTTTTGTCCTTATACTGTCAACACTCAACATTGAACGATAATAAGCATTAGGCAAGCCACATTGGGGGCAATGTTATGCTGTCCGAGCGTGTCGCCAACTGTGACGCGCACAGTGCACATTATCGTACATTCAATCATTCACAGTCTCTATGTGAGTTGCGAATGACTAAAAAAACCAGGGAAGAAGCGGTCCGGCATCACGTAGCACGAAACACGGCGAAGTTATTGTTGCGCTCGCTAGATGGCACTAGTGTTAGCGCCTGAATATATGCTGTACCGCAGAAGTTACACATTCAGTCGCTAGATGGCACTACTGACAAGCGCCTGAAAGTTACACTGTGCCGCAAGGCAGCAATGCAGCGCGGCGCAGTCTAAGGGCCGTCAGTAGGTATGCTTACTCGGACAATGGACATTACAAACGCGTGTGCAATGTGCATGAGGCATGAGGCTATATGCACATGAGGCTATATACACTGTATGTATGTGGTATGTGGTGAGAGAATTCAGCATCAGAATTAGCCATCGATTACCATGAGAAAATTCACATGGTCCACATTACATAAAGGGCATCCATTGCACAATGCACATACGCTCTTTCGTAAAAGCAAAACAAAAGCAAAAGCTAAGCAATCTAAAGTGCCCTTGGGGACACGTATTGCAGGGTTTTCTACCAACAGCGCTTTCTTCCATATCAGCCGACTATGCCAGAGCTTGTCAATTCGCTCCCGTCACCCACCTCCACGGGCGGCTGGAGTGCCATGCTTCAGGATGGACCAGTGGAAGGTGTAGAGAATGGTGCAGGCCGCGGCGCCGCCGGTGGAGCGCCGCACACGCCGCCGCCGACGACCGGTGCGCAGGGATCAGTGGCCGCGCCACGCGGGTTACTCGGTCCCACGCCCTCCTGTCGCCGCCGACATTCTGAGACAAAATGCCAGCCTGTCAGAGCCGAGAAGGGCGCAGTTGAGTCCCCGCCCAGCCATGGTTCCCCAGTGCACCGAACTCGTAAAGGATGGCGGTTAGAATGTCAGCCTGAAGGTGCCTTCAGGCTCAAATGCCTATTTATTCTGACCTTTAAGTGCGAATAAGTAATCTCTAGTCATGAACAGCGATCGATCTCGAATGCATAAATAGATGCACTGATTGAATATGCATAGGTATTGCATAGTTAGAAGAAAACAAGCATATATTCTGGAGCTCACTCACTGAAAATTTGCAGCTTTGCATTTTTCTTTGCACATGCCCATTGCCTATATCAAACCTGAACATCGACGTTTTTTCAGATTGGTCACTGCCTACAATATGTATTAGGCGCCAGATTATATCGACGATAATCACGGAGCTTTTGATGAGCCCGCTGAAATGTGAGCGAGGTAATTGGTGGTGGTTGATATATAAGTTAGGTATCTAACGTCTTGAGGTCAAGGTCATGCATGGTAGAGAGACTAAGATCGTTCGAGGAACATGTCCATTATCCCTCGCGTGCCCGGGGGCGTTTTTCGCCCCCCCCCCCTGGCGAATATTGGCGATAACTCCCGAACGCTCTTGAATAGGAAAGCGAGGGGCTGGGGTCTCCAGCCGAACGCGCGGGGCTGGGGGGGGGGGGGGTAAATTTTACTCCCCCTGTTATCTCCCGAACTAATGGTCCGATTTGGAAAATTCAAACGCTAATCGAAAGATCTCATCACGGACAACTAAAAACATGTACTTTATTTAAAGTTTGAGGTCAAGGTCAAGGTCAGGTCAAGGGTACAAATTGCAAGTTTCTACAGTATCGGCCTTGCACCGTAGTTGCCGAAGAATGGAGTCATGGACTGAGACTGATTGCCCAAAACGTGTTCTTAGGCTACCAAGACAACATTCGTTGCATACAATATCATTCAGAGGTCAAGGTCAAGGTCAGGTCAGGTCAGGTCACCAAAAATGATATAGAAAAGGGCATGTGCGACACATGTTTTTTGGGTCATTTTACTCATAGAATTCAATAGGCACACTCAATAAGTGATATGGACCACCTGTGGATGAATTTCAGGTCAAGGTCAGGTCAAGGTCAGGTCAAGTGAGGTCAAATTTTGAAGTTGGTTGTTAAGGCCTAAAAAGGTGTCTATCTGATGCAGTTTTCACGGCGAATCGAATGGTGCTATTTTTGTTTCCGTACGAGGTCTAGAACTTCCAAAAAAATCATTTTCAAAATTTTTGTGTGTCGTGACGTCATAAAACTTTGAATAACTCCCACATTTTTGAACCGATTCTTCTAAAAATTGGTATGTAGGTGCACATAGACCACTTCTCTGACATATATTCCGTTTTTTCGATACACTCAAAATTTTGGATTTTATAATTATTTTCCCAAAGAAGTCAGTTTTTTGAAAAAATTGGGTCAAAATCCAAAATTTTCAAAAAACCCAGATGGTCATTTGATAGACAAAGTAGAATTACGTGTAACCTTTTTTGTTACGTCTTGATTCCTTTAAAAATGAAGATGTTAGCGGCGTTTGAAATTTTGCCGTTTTTGAGGCGAAAATGGCGAACATGACGTCACTAATAGAAAACGTCAATTTCTCAAAAATTTTCCGACGGATTTCGCTCAAATTTTCAAGGAACGTGTCAAATTGATGTAAGAACAGGTACTGAAAGTTTGGCGGCGCTGCGCGCCGCCGTTTTTGAGATATCGCAAAAATTCGCGAGGGGGGTAAAATTTACCCCCCAGCCCCGCGCGGGTTAAAGTACCCCATCAATTTGACATCTTCTGGGCATTTTTTTGACCTACCAGTTAGCACCCTTGATGACGTCACAGGTTCGATTTTGCTAGACTCCTGCACAGCAAACTATGCACAGCTGCACTGAGTGCACAGCTATATTTGAACCTTGAGTGGAGACGGAGTCACCGAAAAAATCCATCGATTCCGCAACTCTGTATATATAAATATATATATATATATATATATATATATATATATATATATATATATATATATATATATATATATATATATATATATATATATATATATATATATATATATTGCTACCATAAAAAGTCAAACCAACACAGGATTATAAAAGGTTATAAAAAATTTAGCGATTTTTCCATAAAAGGTTATTGTAATTTGTAAAAATCATAACATAGGTATAACGATCATAATCATACACGATCATTATAAAAGGAAATTATTTATTTCATTATTATTATCATTATTTTTAGCTTTTCTGGAGCCACTTTTGTGGTGCACGAGCAATTATGTTGAGAGAAAAAAACATCGAACTTGGGAAAATGTTAAACTGATTCAGTCCTGCGACAAGACCTTTGACCTGAACGGAACGAAAATTACTCATTTTCGTTTCAATTTTTGTTTTCCGATGCGTAAGTAAAAGAAGCCGAATCCGTTCTTTGACCGTACCTATACATAACAGCGATGAGAGCTTTCTAATAACATTATCTACGTTAATATCACCTTAGAATTAGATGTTCATTTTGAGACGAGCTAGTAAATTTAACGAAGATAATGCGCCCAACGTACGAACAGCCATACCCTTCATACACAACAGAGAACGAACAGTGTCGTGGTAGTCGTTAGCGGCGCAGGAAATGTGATATTCCTGGCCCCGAGGAGTAATAATGAGGCCCTCACACGGTTGCCGCGTCATGCCTATAAACGATAGCAATCACAGATCATTAGGGTGGGCGGCACATTCGCGCTCTGGATGCGGCTCGTTACCTCGGAAAGCAGCGAGCGATGGGAGGCGGGCGATGGCATCGGGCGATAGGTAACGATAGAGACACTGGTGGGCGGCGGGCAGTGGGCGGTGGGTGGCTGGAGATGAGGACCTCTTACGGAAAAGGTGGCTGGTGGGCGGCACTCGCCGCAGCCGGGGCGGGAAGGGTCTCCCCCAGCCGCCCCTCGGTGCTCACCTCTCAGTCCGTGCTCCAGCGCCGCCCCGTGCTCCGTCCCGGCCGTGCTCCAGCGCCGCTCCGTGCTCCGCCCCGGCCGCGCGCGCCTCCAGCGCCGCCCGCTCCGCGTCAGGTCATGTCTGCGGCGCGCGGCGGCCGCCCCGAGCCGAGCGCCGTCTCTCGCTGCCGGCGGCTGGCTTACAGCCGGACGGCCGCCCAGCCGAGGTCGATAGGCCGCTTCCCAGAGGCGCCGGCAGATGCCTCTGCGCCGCGCCGGCCGGGCGCGCTCCGACGGCAGAGACACGGACAAATGGCCGCCGGCGCCGACACCGCCGAGCCGCCCCGCGGGTCATTAGGCAGCCCCGCCACGCACCCCCCCCCCCTCACACACACACACCCGGTCATAACCGCCGACCGGGGTGCGGCGGGCCAAAAACCGACCACCAGCGACCACCGGTCCCCGCGTGTGTGCAATGGAGACAGAAGAAGCCGGGATAAAGCATATAGGTAAACCGAGGTACCGTCACCAAGAGATTTACGGCATAGTCATTGAATCAATGTATCGTTTGATAACGTTCTCACTTTGATAACATTGATAGAAACGACATTCCAACGGCCACGTTGTATGGGTGTACCTAACTAGGGCCAAACTGGATAAGGGTACGGTGCAAAGGTCAAATAAAATTCGATCAAGGTCAGGGCCTTGAAGGGGGGAGGTCGGGTTACATTCCATTTGGCAGTATCGAAGTGATGAACATCATATTTGGTATCGTTTCTTTTTCGAACTGGGGCTCAAAGTGTTTGTTTCATAACGTGCTCTGTCCATTTATCTACATGTATAAAGTTAAAGTTAAAGTTACATTTATCTATATGTACGAGTATGCATAAAGTTAAATGTCCTAAGCATGGAAGAACGGAAAACGGCGATGCGAATATTCCATAGCAATATCTTACGACGCATCTGACGCATCATCTATCTGACGTCAATAGCAGCATTGTAACGACTCATGACGATTTAAAAAAGCGTCAGTAACCACAATTTAACCCTCGCCGGACCTATTGGTTTTCTACATACGCGCCGGCCGAGGGGGGGGGGGGGGGCGGGTACGACCCCCCCTCGCCGTTTCGCCCCTGGTGGAGCTAGCGCGTCGCGGAAAAAACGAGCGTGTTCGCCGTTACGAGACGCAGAGATTGGTACCCGATTTTAAGGTCCTAGGTCAACCGGTGACCTCTGAGGTCAGGTCAAGTGCCCAAGGGTACGGTTCAGTTTTTGGTGAATAACTTCGCAAAAAACGGCCGCAGAGCCGCGATTTTGGCAGCATCGTGTTCGCCTCGCTCAGGCGCGTCGAATGATATACTTTTTGTCCGGGTCAGGTCAACATGAGGTGTTGACCTCAGGTCAAGGTCAGGTCAGCACCCCCAGGTCACGAAGTTGGTCGAAAGAGGTCATGTCGCATATCATTCGATTCGGCAGGTCTTCCTGAGTCCATTGGTGGCTTTTTCGACTCGCTAGCTCAATTTGATCAAGAGTTATTGACGAAAAACTAATATGACCTTGATGACGTCATAAATGACGTCACGCAAGGTCAACATTGCAAAAGTGACGCATCTAACCTTGCAAGGAGTGCATCAAATCACGATTCTGTGTGCTTGAGATAGTTGGAGATCGTTCCCGGCGCCAGAATAGCAGTTTTCATTTTTCCCCATTGACTTATAATGGTGAGGTCACGAAAATGACCTGACCTCATATGACCTTTAGGAAAAATCCGAGATATACAAGTTGTGAGACTTATAATGGATACTAGATCCTGCAAGTTTCATTTCCCTGTGACATCTCCTCTGGCAGTGAGGGCGTTGCGAAGTTGCGACATCTGAAGACCGTGCAGAGGTTCACTTATGACGTCATAGGTCAGTGACCTGACCTGACCCAAAAATGCGGTTGGTGTCAAAAGATCCGGCTTGGATCAAAGGTCAGGTATGCCAAGTTTCAGCTCTCTATCGCCAGCGTGTTCGGAGCTATCGCGAAAAAAAACCCTATGGGGGGGGGGGCGGCACCCGCCCCCCCTCGGCCGGCGAGGGTTAAACGAGCGCATTTGCAACAGCTACAATCCATGTTGTGACTAAGACGCCCATGGCAAACCCATGACGACGGTGACGTCGGGCGTTACAATTGGCCAGACCGTCAATAACGACGTTTGGAAGACACCATCGCAATTCGTGGAAACTGTTCAATAAAGGTAAAGGCCAGCAATAAAGCAAGGCCAGTAAAAGCTTTCAGAAGAACGTTATTGACGTTCTTCTGATACTTCGTCGCATATATTTTTCATCAACGCCATCGTCAACGTTTATAGTAAATGTCACTTTCCACGCCAACAGTCTGAAACGATTTGCGTCGTAAACGTAATTGTTGAGGTGTCGAGTGTCGACGTTCGTCTTTTTCGAGTTCTCGCCTACACGGGCTAAGCTTGTTATCATTATCGATGACTTATTATGCCTGGATTATCGATTCATAATTAATTATTTGCGCCAACTAACATAAAAGGTCAATATAGGTTATCACATTCCACCTTATGAAACCCGCTCAGGGGCGTAAAACGCATCTATAAGATATATGAGTAATATATATTTCATCAGTCAGGTTCATATTGTACAGCTCTCACCCCGCACACGCATTCCTTTGTTGCTGGAGCTCGGACGGTTTATAATCAACAATCGGGCTGTGATCGAAGCCTTCCGTCCCTGATAAACGCACGCCAGTCACACGAGGAAGTCTGGAATGTGGAATGTCGCCCGCCGTCCCTCGCTCTCGGCCCGATAAACCCTTATAAAACCGATTCAGCCCGTATCACGCGGACACTACTCTACCTCGGCTATGTTCTGTCGGTGTACATGATTCGAAGACGAGGCACAAAACGCGTTGGCACACCATCCATCACCCGGCCGAACAAGATCGCCGGCGGGCCGCTCCCACCGGCCGGCCAGACGGAAAGGCACTCAGTAGCGGGCGGCCGGGCCGGCGGCGGCGCCCCCGTCCTCCCAGTCCTCTCCCACCGCAGTTGGACAGTCCAGACCAGTCTCCGAGCCCGGAGGAAGGCTCAGACTCGGGACCAGCGCGCCGCCGCCGTCCTCGGCCCGTCCTTCCCCTGATAATCACACATCTAAGATCAGCGCGTGTTCCAGCTCGCCATCATTAGCTCCCATCCGCACACTGCACGGCCTCACACACTATAGTACAGCGGTATGAATACAGTGTTCATTGAACGGTAGTGGCGTCGGTCCGGCCGTCACCGCGCGCCGCGCTGGCCCCGGCGCTACTGGATCGGACCCAGCGGGTTCTTCAGGCTGTCCTTGGCCTCCGCCTCGTCCTTGGCTAGCTTCTTGGAGAGGTAGTCCCTGTGATTAGAGGGGCGGTCAAACTCTGAGATAGTCCGACAGTCTCTGAGACAGTAAATAAAAAATTGAAAAAGAACCATGACAAACTCCAGTTGACAAGTGAAACAGAGGCCTAGGGCAGGCCGGCCTGCCCTAGCGATAAACGTGAGAAAAAAGGCAGACTTCCCTCCGCCACCGCACCGCCGATCTCGATTTCACCCCGGCCAACCTCTCTGAGCGCCAGTTACTCACCAGTTGTGGACCATGATCTTCTGCACGGCCAGGAGGGCGCACAGCTTCACATTCGGGTCATCCGACAGCATCTTCTCCATGACACGCGACTTTCCGTCCAGGCTCTCCAGAACGCTGCCGACGGGGAGAAAGGGACGTCAGGGAATGAAGATTTTGCTTGATAAATGAACAGAATTAAACGGATTCGCGGAGCAAATGCATTCTGAATGTGAGGGAAAAGAGAATTTGAGAAACAAACGGTTCCACGGAACGACTCCAGCCCGGACTCTCACTCCCGAGCGTAGGGCATGAGAGCCTGGGTTCGAGTCGCTCCGGCACCCGACACGCGAGAAGAGATGGTCTGCGGTCGGTGGGAGCGACCACAGTGTCTGTCGTCTTACCGTTTTCCGCGCGGGTAGTGTCGGACGTACTCGCCGATGTCGTGACAGGCCACGCTGACCACCAGCGGGTCCTTGGAGGTGTCCAGCAGGTGCAGCTGTGAAGGGCAGGGAGACAGGTCAGCGGGACCGGCGGGTTGGTCAGTGACGACAGGTGTGGGAAGCGGAGTGGCGAAGGGTTAGAAGTGGACTAGAAAAAAAACGAACACGGCTCATCGTGCGAACCCTAAACTTTTTGTGGCAAAACAAGTATACATTCAAGGGGTAATTAACAATTTACATTTAACCAGCTAATACTTTTGACTAGTTGAGTGACAGAAGAATATTAGCATTTAATAGCCAAAAGCTTTCTCACATCCACACAAATTTGTATGTGAGCATGGTCGTGGGACAACTCAGTATCGGAGACCAGACTGCGCTCGTCGGCGACTGACCAGAATCTTGAGCAGCTGGTAGTTGTTGTCGTTGAGGCGGCTGGCGTTCTCTCGCCAGAACTTGTCCGACTTGTGCACCAGGGACCACTCCAGCCGGCCCGACTTGAGTTCGGTGGTGTACTCGTCCAGCGAGCTGGGAACAGTCGCCGACAGTTATACCTCACACTTCACACACCACCGTCACACGCAGTGACGCTTGTTACCATCACACGTCACCGTTATTTGAATCACATTCACGCAAATAGACACCGAAAGATAAGGGCACCGAGTCACGGTCACGGCCAGCTATAGTCACGGTGTGATTCACGGGAACGATCAAGACCAAGGCGGCAAAAAGCACTTGTCACGGATGATCGGCCGGCCGGCCACCAGCCCACGGTCAAGGTCAGGCTGACCGATTTGTACCGCTGCCAATCTCCGAGCGGTCGCGCATAGTTACACACAGAGTGCTACAACGATCTTGTAACGGGCCATTGACTGTCCATTGTCCAATGCTCATGGACTGGAGGGGACCGTGGGCATTCACTGACAGTTTCTGAGCGCTAGAACCGACCCACGCTCCGGCCGACCATACTTCAGTTCACATCAGACTTCAGTTTCACTAATATGGCCAAAACAGACTGCTTAACTCGCTCCCGATCTCACCAATACCGACCACCAAAGCGACATCAGTTGATAGTCGGTCCCCGTCATCCACCCTGCGTCCGGACAACACAAGGCACGCTCACTCGCTCGCTCCCTCACTGACTCCCTCCATCCCTCCCTCCCTCCTCCACCCCTCCCCCGCCCCACTCACTTGAGATCATGCACGCTGAGTGTCAGTTTTTCGGTCAGGTAGTCGACGTCGGCACGCAGGTCCTCGTCGGTGTTGTAGCGCAGCGCGATGAGCTCCAGGTGACGCAGCACCTTACACTGCACCATCTGGATGGCGTTCTCGCGAGAGACCGACGCTGACTCCGGCTTGTCCACCAGGTTCTGTTGAAGAGGGATGAGGCAGGGATACGTTATCACAGCGTGGGTAGCAGAGGAGCGATGGAACTCCACAGAGCAGCGTGGATAAGCTGTGGAAGCCGAGAACGGCTGAACACGGTTTACATGACTGTAAAATGTATCATGAAACACTGTCCTGAGAAAAGTGATAACTGGCCCCGCCCCGCTCCCTCACATTGAGGCCGACGATGGAAACTCACGCGGAAGGTGGCGACGCACATCCTGACCACCTTCTCCTTCTCGGTGTCGATCAGAATGTCGGCCAGCAGCGGCACCAGGTTGTACCTGACCGGGTCAGACAGACACGTCAAAACTTAATAGGCATTCTTCTATGTTATAAACGACGAGCGAAGACAGCTACTAGCTAAACCAAGTTATGCCTGATGCCTGACGCCGGGCTGACGGAGATGAACACCGCCAGATGAACAGTCACTGATTGCGTTCGCTTAATCACGTATGAAAAAAGCAAAAGCTAAGAAACTAGACGGCCGATCGTTTGTTCAAGATTCCTGCATTTCAAAACAACGTCCCAGCACCCCAGTCCTACCCATCCAACAGACCTCCAGAACATCGTGGTTACCACCGCTATCACTTCCCGGTGTCGGATGGCACGCTACTACCCACCTGCTGATGGTCTCTGCGATCTCCGTGTTGAAGGTGAGCACCCACAGACAGAACACCAACTGGTACTGGCACTGGAAGTTGACCCCCGAGCTCAGCACCGCCTGTAGCGTGTTGACGCCGTCCGCACGCATAAACGCGAACCGATACTCGTCTATCCGCAGCATAAGCTGCAGGCAGCGGGCCACCGTCGGCAGGTACTGGTTCTCCTGTACAGACAGACAGACAAATACTCAGAAATTTGGCTGTAAGGATCATGGGAGGTGTTGCTTCCACCTCTAATTGACAGATAAGACGCGCACCAGACTTTGAACGCCACACAATAGCAGCTCGCTAATGCATGTGCGCATCTACGCAACGATGAACTAGAAGACAGAAAAAAAAGAGAAAACGTGTCCAGTGAAAGGTTTCTCAAAACCGGGTCAATATTCAAAGAAACCTAAAGAATCACGATGTCAGCGTTGGTCAACAGCTGGCCAATCCTGTCGCACGGCCACTAACCGATTTGCGCAGCTGGTCCTTGAGCCAGGTGATGTAGAGCTGCAGGTCGGAGCCCTCCATCTGGCGGCCGCCGTCGCAGGCCAGCCGCGCCAGGATCCAGGCCGTCAGGTTGACGCTGATGTCGTCCGGCCGGTTCAGCAGCGTCAGGAACGGCGCCCAGACACTCTCGCCCTTCTGCTGGGCGTACTCGCGGAACACGCGGCCGTTCTCCTTGTCCTGGCGAACGCGGGGATATGACATAGAGTGGATGACGGAGGAAATCATCAACGACACTATCAAGGAAAGCACCCACCCCATTCAGCGAACGATAATAGAAAGACAGTGGATACATCATGAAAATGCAACAAATAATGGTTTCGAAAGCTTCATAAGCACAACATATTGTCTCTTATCGAGCGGAAGTAAGCACTTTTGGTAGGTAGAAACCAAACAAAGGTACAAATAAGGGATAGCAAGGGAAAATAAAAATGAGCCAGCGGTACCAAGCAGGTCCCGAGAAAGCATATGTGGAAACAGCCTCTCGGCTGCGTTAAACACCATTCATGTGACACCCCAGCGACCGGCGCAGCGGGGCGGCGGCGCCACTGACCGACAACATGTCCTCGATGAGCACCAGCAGGTACTGGATGGTCTGGTCCTTGGCGATGTGGCCCAGCAGGTTGAGGAACGTCTTGGCGCACTGCTGGCTCTGCTGGCGCACCAGCGCGTTCCGCTTCGCCGAGTCGTTCAGCACGTTATCGTAGGCCACGATGAAGTTGTAGTCCTCCTGGCTGATCATCTGGGACCTGACAGCGGGGCGCGGCGGACAGGAAGCTTTAGAGACAGACAACACTGTTGCAGAGACAACACACATGTTCTTATGTGCTACATGACATCACAAAATACTTATCCAGTAGCTCGAAGGAACATGCTATCAATGCCTTCAAATCAATGGACATGCTTGAAAGAAGCCACGAGCGAGTTAGCCTCATCGATGTTGGAGAGAGAGAAAATAAAAATAAAGATACGCTTCCCCACGACATCGGGGTATAGCAATCAGCAATGCTCTTTGCTCTGTTGTGATTTTCCTTTTTGTCTCTTTTTTTTTTGTTAAGTACGCAGTCCTGAAGTGACACACTCTTTTGACATTTCAAATAGTATGGCTCCAGCAGTCCCCGTTGCCTGTGTCGCAATGTAACACCCGATATCGACTTTTGATGACCGGTATGTACATTGGGCCGTTTACGTTACGATCGTGCCTGACTCGACTGTCAACACCAATCAGCTAACAATTAACGCATAGAGACACGTCACCCTGCGTTTGATCGATACGGAGCAGAAAACAATAACGTCAATCACAAAGCAAACAGAGATTATGGGCGCAAGTGCTAATCAATATCACGCTTACCGCGAGTAGGCACAGGATATGTACTTTTGCTATTTCCTAGCATAAACTCTCAGTTGCTCATACATATTTCAACTTGAAATGCTTCCTCTCGCAAACTCTTTATGGCCCAGCCCGAACGAGAAAGGGAGGCACACCAGCCTCTTTCGGAATGACTACGGGATGATAAGACTTGATGATCAAGAGTTCATTACAGTTGGGCAAACTAGACCTTTGGAATCAAAATATGGAGGCATCAAAAGATTGATTCCTTATGACCATATTTGGGTATAAATGCAGACTATTTCTAACTTACCAATCACATAAAAATAAGAGAGTGTTTCAAGAAGGAGCATGCCTGATCTTGAACAGAAATGCTGGAACTATCTCCTAAGCAAAATAATATTGCTCCTATCATAACAATTTGAATTCTATAGGTAGTGAAAGGCAATCAAGGAATTGATTCACTTTAAACAGATAATCATAATATTGATTCCCCATCAGCTGGCTAATCATTATTTTGATTCACAGGTAATGTTAAGAGATAGGCAACAATGACTTGCAGGAATACATCATTTATCTTGCTATTATTCTCATTTAGTGGTATCCTCAGCACCACAACAGATACCTATAGCATTGTTGTACTTAACCTTCACTACATTTGATAACAATTCACAATTTTTAAATGTCAAGAATACAAAAACTGAAGCAACCGGTAAAAACCATATAATAAATATAAAAGCACTACAACAATGATAATTAGGGGTTTGAAAATTTCATTTTGCCATTTTACACAAATACTGAGTGTTTAGTATGCAATTCATGATACAAAAATAACATACAGAGTGATTTTCTTCAAAACAGCTTTTACGTGATGGACAGTGGCTCTGTCTTTTTCCCATTCACAAGGCCAAAGGGACAATTTCTTAGTTTTGAGGTAACACTTTTTGGAAAGCTACCACATTTTTCTTCCTTTTTAAAGAAAAATCTCACCGTCATGGGCCTTTTTTCAGCCGTAACGATACATTTGAAGTCAAAAGTGTACCCAAATGAATCAAAAAATTGATTCCATGCCCATATTTGGTCATGGCTCCTCCCACCAGAATCAAATTATTGATGCCTCCATATTTTGATTCCAAAAGTCTAGTTTGCCCAACTGATTAAAATTATTTGACACGCATTGCAATAAGCGTAGGTACCGTTGAAAATAGGGTTTTAAGGTCCCTTGCAGTCCCCAGCGCCGTCGGCACGGCTGTGCGTGTGTACTTACTGCAGGTAGGACTGCCAGTTGATGGATTTGGCTTTGATCTCGGCGGCTTGCACCTGCAGAAGACCGGTGCACTCTGCAACAACAAACACAAACGATCAGCATTAAGGTCTGAGCATTTTCGGATGCAGAGGAATGATGATACGAAACTCCTAACGTTAGAAAGGATTTAAAAATAAAATTGGGATAACGTAAACGCACTAGCACACGATTGTTTCACTTTTACTTACGTGAGCGGCAAAACCAGTCATACATGCCGTTGTCCTGCACGATTTGCATGGTCTTGGGCAGGAGGTCCATTGCCACATATCTCTTCTCGTCGTTCTCGATGCTGAGCCGGCGTACCAGCTGCACGACGGGCTTCTCCTCGGAGTCCAGCGGCGCGATGGCCGGATGCGGCTTCCACGGGCGCACGGGACGCACGTAATCGGGACGCGAGTGAGCTGACAGAATTCCGGCCAGCAGTTCTTCAACACGTGCAGTGGTTGGGTCGGCACCGCCAGCCACAGCCATGGCTCACAGCTACCCAGTACGATCCAGCGGCTACACGGCACGTCAAAGGCCCGCAACAGATGCTTCCGCTGCTCAAACTGCTGCTGCTGCTTCACTGTTGCTCTCTTCACCTCCTCTCCGCGGCACGTTTCCCCACCGACGCCGGGCTATCTAATCACCCGGCGCGCACAGACCCATCGCTGACAGTTCATTACACGATTCTGCCCGATCCTCGGTCAACCCCTAGTGCCTCCCCCTTGGTGAAGGCACGCCGCCTCTCGCCCCCTCAGCAGCTGTTATCTGACCAATCAGAGACGTTCGAGAACCCTTCCGGCGGGGAGGGTGCGGGAGGGTGCAGCGGGGGGCCACCCCTATCGGCGACTCGGCCGGCGCGGCGGTGAACGGGCCTTCCCCGGCGGTCACGAGGGGAGGGACGCTCCATCAATGGACTCCGACGCGACGGTACCCACTGGGCGTGACTAATCCAGATGTCCGTCCACCTACCTACCCCCCACGCACAAGGGTCAGTCGGCGCCGGCGTCTACGGCGTGTTGAAGGGTCATTGAAGGGTCGTTAGGTGCTCAGCCGGCGCTTTTAACAGACAGGGGGAGGACAGTTCTCGCACCCAAGCTAATGGTGGTAGTAATACCGGGCTACCGTGGTCTGGTCGGGAGGAGACGCTGAGGGGTCCGATGGGTGGTCGAGGAAGGGTCAGGGGGACGGCAGAGGGATCTACCGAGGAGTAATCGGATATTGGGGGGGGGGGGGGGGAGGGCGGTCGGCTACCGGTGACCCGACCGACACACCAGCACACACGTGTGCGAGTTCGGTGAGGAATGTCCGCAGAATTCCGACCCGATCCGAGTCACGCTGAATGATTTATCGGCGGTCGTTCGACCCATGCGACTGGCTCATTAGCCCACACGCAGTCATCTTATCAGTCATTTGATGCTGCTTTGATGCTTTGATGTGCTTCGGTGCCAACATTACTTGACCAGTAATAGCAAATACGAAATAGAAAACATTCCAAGAAAGAGCTCTTGAAAAATGGTTTGATAAATTCAGGTAGCAACTTAACATTAGTGGCAGGCTCCTGGCTACCCCTATTAGTGGCGGGGGGGGGGCTGTTTACGACCCCCCCCCCCTGATATCTCGAGATCTAACGGGCCGATTTTCAAAATTCAAACGGCATTCGATTTCGCTCAACGTGATCTACATTTCTAAAAAATAAGAAATTAAAAAATGTCAATAGGTGGGGGTAGAGGGGGGGTAAAAACGGGCAAATTGCAGATACATTTTAGACTGTTTATCATGGCCAGGTGTCTGAACCAATCTTAACGCAACTTTTGCCGATCGATAGAGAATGAACCAGGAATTCACATGGATCCTATAAATATGCATTTTCAAAAATCATAGGCGGATACAGATCTTTGAGATTGGGGGTACACAAAAAGTATAGTAAATAAGGTTTTTGTTGGTACTGTTTCTAAAAAGGGTGGTAATGGTCTTGTTATGTTACAATTTTCTTATGAGAGAACGAGTACAATTGTATTGGACATGCATAGGCGGTGTCAGGGCACCTATGTTGGGAGGTAAAACAAAACCCCCCTTTTTGGACGAGTGGATCCGCCTATTATAGCAAAAACGTGTCAAAAGAGGATGCACAATAACTTTGTATATGTTATCACATGATACCTTTCATTCACTGTTCGTAAAACTGGTGAAGCATCGTGATCTTCGCCCAAATGACTCGCTTCACGAATAGGACCCCCCAATTCCCAGTGCTCTGGAGCCGCCCCTGGTAAAGTTATGAACTTCAAATTTTCAGGAAATGTGCCCAATTTAGTTTTAGGAAAAGTCAGAAAATTTCAGCATCGTAGCTTCAGCGGTTTCGGAGATATTCCCGAAAAACCTGAGGGGTGGATGAAAACAACCTCCCTGCCACTAATAGGGTTAATCCTCGCCGGCCGAGGGGGGGGCGGATGCCGCCCCCCCCATATGTTTTTTTTCGCGATAGCTCCGAACACGCTGGCGAATGGCGATAGATCTGAAACTTGGCATACCTGACCTTTGATTCAAGCCGGATCTATTGACACCAACCGCATTTTCGGGTCAGGTCAGGTCACTGACCTATGACGTCATAAGTGAACCTCTGCACGGTCTTCAGATGTCGCAACTTCGCAACGCCCTCACTGCCAGAGGAGCTTTCACAAGGAAATGAAACTTGCAGAATCTAGTATCCATTACGAATGTCACAACTTGTATATCTCGGATTTTTCGTAAAGGTCATATGAGGTCAGGTCATTTTCGTGACCTCGCCATTATAAGTCAATGGGGAAAAATGAAAACTGCTATTCTGGCCCCGGAAACGATCTCCAACTATCTCAAGCACACAGAATCGTGATTTGATGCACTCCTTGCAAGGTTAGTCGTTAGATGCATCACTTTTGAAACGTTGACCTTGCGTGACGTCATTTGTGACGTCATCAAGGTCATATTCGTTTTTCGTCAATAACTCCCGATCAAATTGAGCTAGCGAGTCGGGGAAGCCACCAATAGACTCAGCAAGACCTGGCGAATCGAATGATATGCGACATGACCTCTTTCGACCAGCTTCATGACCTGGGGGCGCTGACCTGACCGTGACCTGCGGTCAACACCCTAAGTTGACCCGATTGTTTGTTTGTTTGTTAATTGGGGCTTTAGGGCGCGCCGACCTAAGTTGACCTGACCCAAACAAAAAGTATATCATTCGACGCGCCTGAGCGAGGCGAACACGATGCTGTCAAAATCGCGGCTCTGCGGCCGTTTTTGCGAAGTTATTCACCAAAAACTGAACTGTACCTTTGGACACTTGACCTGACCTCAGAGGTCACCGGTTGACCTAGAACCTTAAAATCGGGTATCAATCTCTGCGTCTCGTAACGGCGCACACGCTCGTTTTTTTCCGCGACGCGCTAGCTCCACCAGGGGAGAAACGGCGAGGGGGGTCGTACCCCCCCCCTCAGCCGGCGCGTATGTAGAAAACCAATAGGTCCGGCGAGGGTTAAACAATGTCCGGGTGTTGGTCGCGCTCCATATTTATGGGGGGGGGGGGAGCCGAAACGCCTCCCTCTCTTTTTCTATCGATATCTCTCTATAGATGGCCTTGGATATCTCCTAAAGCTTTGCAGATATCGTCACCAAACTTTCATGGTCCCTGCGGGCATTAATTTTACACCTTGTGGCAGAAATGCTCAAGGGGCTATGATAGGTTGGCTACAAAAGACGTTTGAATGACGTCATCGTCTGCCATTTTCGACCAGAAAGGTTTGTCGGAAGAGCTATTACGCCTACAGTTTTAAAGGTAGAGAAAAACATATTCTCAACAAAAAAAGGTGTAAAAATAATTGGGCTACAAAACTGTTTCATTGGATTTTTTGAAATTTTGGACTTTGAACGCCAAAATCAATCTTATTCATGTATGTTTAATAGTGAATACCCTATTAATACCCAAAAAATCCAAACTTTGCGAAAACGGAAAGCATATTATAGAACTTGAGGTGGTCCATCGGCATCGACATACCAAGTTTGATATCAGTAGCTTCATTTTTGGCAAATTTATGGCGAAAAAAAAACTATACTCAACATTGATGACGTCAAATTTCCAAACTCAATTTTTAGCTCAATTCCTAACCACGTAGCATAGGACTGAGGCCATCATTGGAGTCCCCGTGACGAGCTACATTGAATCGATGCCTTTCCTATGCAAAACAACTATCAATTTTGAAAGTTGACCTTTTTACTTTACATTGACCTGACCTTCCCAGAACGCAACCTAAAATGGCCCCAATGGTCGCTTAACCCATGTAATTGAATTTGAAATGTAAAATTGACCATAAAGTACACGACCCTAAAAGTGGCTAGCATAGTTGGGTTCATATTGCGACCCTACGTGACCTGACCTCTGTGACCTGACCTGGTGGCTGGTATCAATAATCTCATTTAGCATGGTGTTATCACTTATCAGGGTGTAACAAAATTATCCGGACATCTTTTTCCCGCTGCAATTAAGAAGCAAAACAATCTGGTGCTTTTCCTTTTAAATGACGATATAGTGACCCAAGCCCCTAAAAACAGCGACCCTTCATAAGAGCACAGTGACGAATGCGCTGAAGCATTTCAGCCGCTGAGTTCTTCTCCAGCACACTGAGTTTGATGTGATTGTGGACTAACACCGTCTTGACCTTTGCCTACAGTTAGGCGGTGCTGGTGGCAGGTGTCTCCTCTTCACCTCCCGCTGGAGAATAGCCCACAAGTTTTCGATGGGACTGGGATCCGAGCCTTTTCCGAGCCCTTAGCCCAGATGGATGGAAGTTCTTTTAGCATTATTTCTCATTATTCTAGGGACTTTGAGGTGGCATGTTAACCCGCATGAAAACAGCGTGGCTTGAAGCAGGCATCAGTGTGCGTTCAGAAACCGAGCCCTCCTGTGCCATCTGGTTGAGCGCCTCCTGCCACTCATTAGAGAGGATGTTGTACCAGTAATACTCGTCGTTGATAGTGGTTTTATACGACACCATGTGCAACAAGACCATCACACAGCAGCTAAACAATAAACATGCTCCAGACCTGGATTTCGACTGGATGTTTGGCTAATGACGGAAACGGCCGGCACGTTTGAGCTACTAGCCGCCCACACACATCCGATTTAACGGTCCAAAGGATGATGTAGCTCGAACAGCGACCCATCCGACCAGACCACTTTATACCCTTGTCTTCCTCCACCCAGTGGACATGCTCTGGCGTGAAGAGAAAGGCTGGCTGTTTTCCCGCCAGTTCTGTTGTCTTCCTCAGTTTAAATGGGAGCTGAACCAGCTTGGTAAAGTGGGAAGCACTAAGCAGTGGATCATAATATGGAACTGGTCAGAGTGTGTGACATAACCAACATCACCATAACAAATTTCATTTGATGTCTATAATACGTAAATAATTTGATAAAAGGCCTTCTTCTTAGTAAGTGTGGCATGGACAAAAGCTAATCTTTACCACACTTATATCCAATATTATCATAAATAAGTAACACTTATTACCACCTGCCAATGCACCATGATGTGACTGGTTGATAATGATAACCAGGTGTAGGATGATTAGACCATGAGTGCAGAGGCCAGAGGTATTTAGCCAATCTATTCGGTGATGCTATACTGAGTATACAAGTTGCTGCAATAGTGCTGTAGGTTAGATAAGGTTTTGATAGGTTTTGTTAAGTTTGGTTCAGTTTAGCTATGTTTGGTTTAACTTGGTTTGGTTTGGTTTGGTTTGGT